TCTTAAAGGGCTGAGACCTCAAAGTCAAGGGGAGGGGCTGGGTGCGCCCTTACCACCTCCCGCCCTTTATCTCCTAGCTCCCCGGCTCTCACCGGCGTGGGTTCCCGGTGCGGCGGGGCCTGCAAGTCCCGCGTCTGGAAGTGCCAGGAGGTTTCGCAGCCTAATCGCGATGCCTGCTGGTGCAGCGAGCTGGGCTGATGGCAGGGGCGGGTAGGCTCTGGGTGGCAGGCAGTAAGACACGCCCGGGGCGTGGGTGCCGCGGTCCGAAAGGCTGGGCTGGAGGTCAGCGATAGTGAAGCCAAAGAGCACAACGTCCTGCCAACCTGGACGGGGAGCCAAAGTCCGACCCCTGAGAGACCACGCCCCAGGCTGGAGGTGGAGGCCCCCGCAGATTGATGGCTGTCCGTGGAAGATGAAGAGACAGAATTTCTCTTTTTAGTCATTCAATGGGTACCGAACACTGCCAATGGGCGGGGCACTGTACAATGAGGACCATGGGGGATTCCTGACACAAAAAACCACGTTAAGAGAAAACGACAGTGCCAAGAGCACCCATCAGTTACACAAATACGTGTCTACATAGAAACTGAGATACACGCTCCCCAGAGAGGGGCGGGATTTTGGAAGGCATTTGCAGCAGCTTCTGGCCTGGAACTGGGGGCGCTCAACGGGGTTCTATTGAGAGATTAAAAGAAAACAGAGTTTAGAGACAAAAGGAATGGGGGGAGCACCACTGAGCAGAATGGAAGGGACAAGACCAAGGAGTATACGATAGGCCTATGGGAAGTTTGGGACAGTGCTTGGCAGATCACATTTGCATCTTTCCTAGATCACTTTGGTTGAGGGAGTGAGGAGCAAATTGGAGAAGGCTCAGAGTAGGTGTAGGGAGACCAGCCCAGAAGCCAATTTTCCTGGGCAAATGAGGATGTTGGGGAACAAGATGGCGAAGAAAAGGAGAAGTGGGCAGGCTGCAGAGATGTCATAACAAAAACAACCGGAGTTGGTGCTGAATGGGACGTGAAGGAGTGAGGAAGAAGTGGTGAAGGTTAACACCACTTTTCTGGTGAATAAAGAGAAGAGGATATGATTTGGAAAAGAATGATCAGTGGTTCCATCGAAGACGAGTTGAATTCAAGGCCTGTGAGACTTCTAAAAGAAACTTGGTGTAGTAATGGGTTACTACGCATTGGACTGCTAACCACGAGGTTAGCAGTTTGAAACCACTAGCTTTTCCTTGGGAGAAGGTTGAGGCCCTATACTCCAGTAGAGTTACATTTTGGGAAATCCACTGTCCACTCTGCCCTAGGGTCACCACAAGTCAGAATTGACTTGATGGCAGTGAGTTGGAAGGTTTTTTGGGGGGTTGAGTGTTCAAAGGAGCCCTGGTGGTACAATGGACTAAGCAGCAGGCTGCTAACCAGGAGGTCAGAGTTTCAACACTGAAAGATGAGGCTATTAGTCTCAGGACCCTGTGGACCAGTTCTAATCTGCCTTGTAAGGTTGCTATGAGTCGGAATCGATTCAATGGCAGTGGGTTGGGTTGGGTTGGGTTGGGTTTGGAGACTTCTGGCTGGGTTACCAACCTAGGTAATCAGATATACAGGTTGAGTTCATAGCAAAGGTCTGGATTGGACACAGCCTTTTGACAGTCCTTGGCACACGGAAGGAAACTGAAGTTAAGGGCCGGGTACCTGGCCAAAGTAACACTACAGAAATGAAAAGAGAATTGTTACAGAGTCTAAGATGTTGCCAAGGATCCTCACCTCCTGGCCTTGACCCCCTGGTGACATCCCTTCCCCTGTGGAGTCCATGCTGGCCAGAATGCTATGGAAGTAACAGTGAGGCTAGGTGATAAAAAACATTGCTTTGGACTCTTGGGTTGCTTGCTTCAGGGAATGCTGGCTGCTTGGCCCTGAAGAAGCACATGCAGTTCTATAGAGAGGCCGAATGGAGAGAAACAGGTCTCCTCCCCTTGGTTGCCAGTTCCAAATTGCCAGTGATGTGAGTGAGCCGCCCTAGAAATGGATCATCCAGTGCCACAGGCCTCAGTTAGCTGCAGCCCAGTGATCATCTGGCTGCAACCTCATGAGAAACTGAGCCAGAACTGTCCAAATTGCTCCTAATTAAGCTACTGGGGTTTGGGGCTGACTTGTTACATGGCAGTAATTAATTAACACAACAGCCTACCAATTAACCTTGAAAATCTCCCCACATTACCTGGGAGGGAAGGAAGAGCCTGCAGGCAACACAAGGAAGGAGAACTACTAGGATATTTGGGGTTGATAAAAAACCACAACAACTCACTGCCATCGAGTTGATGCCAACTCATAGCGACTCTATAGGACAGGGTAACATGGCCCCTGTGAGTTTCCAAGGCTGGAACTCTTTTTAAAAATTTATTAATAATTGGGAGTTAATACATATATCATTCCATTGTTCAATCACATCAAGCTGTGTTGTACAATTGTTACCACAATCATTCTTTTCCTTCCTGGACTCCTTGACATCATCTCCCTTTTACCACCACCACCCACACAAAAAGCTGTAACTCTTTATAGGAGTAGAAAGTCCCATCTTTATCCTATAGAGTGGCTGGTGGTTTCAAACCAAAGACCTTGTGGTAAGCAGCCCAATATGTAACCACTAAGCTACCAGAACTCCTTTGAGGTGGTAAAGAGATGGAAAATCATGCAGTCTATGCTGGGAAAGGACTAGAATTCGCTAAGTATATAACTGTGCTTCACACTACAGGTGGCCAAATAAACATATCTGATCTAAATGGGACCAGATCTATGAGAGCCTAGGGCTCTCAAATACGGAGACTTGACCTCTCAGAACTTCAGATGGGAGTGCTTTAGAACAGGATCTTGCGCCACCTGACTAGCGTATGTCGAGGGGCCCTCCACTTCCATCACTGGTCATGCTGGCTCCAGGTTCGCAGCTGTCTTCCGAAGTTTTCTCTTACAGGATCACCAGCCACCCTGACACTCCTCAAGATGAGAAGCAACAGCCTAGATGTCTGTATCACCACAGATCTGCAAGGAGACTCGCTCCCTTGACTTTGCAACAGCATTTGACATGTCTGCCCTAACTTTCCTTCTCTGTGATTTTTTTTAATTTTATGAACACACACTTTTCCAGTTTTCCTTTTGCAAGACTAATTCAAAAAAGATTGGGACCGGCGTTCCACTTCATACACATAGGGGCTCTGCTCCAAATAAAATGTGTTTAGTTGTGTGCTGTGGCCAGTAGATGGCTGAGGACAAGTTCTCATAGGGATACATTTGTCTTCGTCTTCTTAGGGTGCATTCCAAAAAAAATAAGTCCAATTAAAACAGTGACTTCCAAGGGGATCTACTGGATCAATTCAATTCAGGCACAGAGACCAGGCCAGAAGGTTATGGCAACTGCTAATGAAGATTCTAAAGGGGTCATCTGGATAGATTACCTTGATGAACACAAGACAAACACGGGAGCTTATTAGGGAAAAGTTTTTTTGTTTTGTTTTTTGTTTGTTTTTTTTAACATTTTATTAGGGGCTCATACAACTGTTATCCCAATCCATACACACATCAATTGTGTAAAGCGTATTTGTACATCGTTTCTCAAAACATTTTCTCTCCACTTAAACCCCCGACATTAGGTCCTCATTTTTCCCCTCCCTCCCCACTCCCCCCAGGGAAAAGTTTTAAGAAAACAGAAAACCGCGTCGGTGAGGCAAAGGCCAGCAGGTAGTGCTGAGGACAATGATCATTGCACCTGCTCATTCTTTGAGGGTAGCAATAGCTGTCCTAAGAGAATTTCACTGGAACTCTTAGCCCATCCACCCTACACCCGCTCGTGCCCATTCGGGCTCGTTTTGTTCCCCAAACTCAAAGAACATGGAAGAGGGGCGTGATTTGAGTGGCTCAGGGATGCTCAAACTACTGTTTCCATGTGGTGTAAATCCAAAAAGGCTGAATTCTTTGGGGGAAGAGTTAGAGAGATGGAAACACCATTTTCAGAAGTGTATTTTTTAAAAAATCTCAAAACACACGGCCATCCAGTCCATGCCGACTCACAGCAACCCTATAGGACAAGGGTTGCTTGTCCTCTGTGAGTTTCCAAGACTAACTCTCTGTGGGAGTAAAAAGCCCAGTCTTTCTCCTGAATCAGAAGTGTATAGACTTATCAACACGTCATTGAGAAACAATAGCGTCGCATTTTAATGTTTTATGTTTAAGAAAGATTTCTAAGATTTTGTAGTAACACGGTTTTACTTACCCTCAGGGATCTCTGGTCCCTTAAATCCTCTCCCGCCCACGGTCCCCGCCCCCTTCTCCTCTCAGCCTCCTTCCCACTGCCTGGAGGGGAGCCAGCATCCTCCTTAGGTACCACTGCACGGTTACAATTAGCTTCTACAAGTGATGCCTCTCGAAGTTGTACTTCCAGCCCAGAGTTCCACATCCAAGCACCTGGCCACCACCTGCCTAAATTGATCGCCCTCACCTCCAGCCCAGCTGTGTTACCCTACTGCTCCCTACCTCAAGAAATGACACCTCACGCCTCTCAGTCGTCCAAATCAGAACCGCGGGAGTCATCCCTAATTCCACATCCCCCCCAGTGCAGTCCCCCACGGCTCGGCAGGCGGCAGTGCCCAGAGTGCGGACTCCAGCTGCCGATCTGGAGGTACCAGAATGATGTCAAATGAGCAGTGAACTTGAAAACCGCGCCAGCGAAGACTCGGACGTAAGCCAGGGCAGGTTACCCCTGAAATGCTAATCATCACAGCAACCGAAACGCTACCAGCGGCGCCGGCAGGTGAGCCAGCTGTTCCGGCCCCGCCCCAAAAGGAGCAGCCCGGGGCGCGCAGGCGCAACGTATTCCTGCTGCGGCTGGGCCACTAGGGGGCTCGGTCCGAGGAGAACGCTACGCAACGTTATTGCGCGTGCGCGGAGGACGTCACTTCCGGTCGCCGCCTTCTTGGCGGGAGAATCCAATCAACGTCGAGAGCTTTACCCCTATCTACGGTGGGTTCCCGCGGGGCTTGGGAATTGCGGCTGAGTGGGTTGCGTGTAGGGTCCAGGCTTCCCGGGATGTCTGTGGCCTTTGTACCGAACTGGCTGCGGGGCAAAGCGGAAGTGAATCAAGAGACTATCCAGAGGGTAAGTATCGAGGCTTAGGGAAGGCGTTCCTTAGTTCAGGAGCTGCGAGCTTCGGGAAGCTTCTTGAAGTGGTTGGCATCCAAGCCGAGGCTTGTGTAGGATTTGACCTGCAGGGCTACAGACTGGATGTGTTGGGGCCGTGGTCAGTCCAGACTCCCGGAGCAGACAGCCCGGCCTGGGGCGTGCTGTCACCCCGCCGTCCTGACGCTTTTTCTGCCCTTTCAGCTCCTGGAGGAGAATGACCAGCTGATTCGCTGCATCGTGGAGTATCAGAACAAGGGCCGGGCCAACGAGTGCGTCCAGTAAGTACTCGCGCCCCTGCTCGTGGGTGGAGGGAATGCCCTCCCAAACCAACCAAACTCGCTGCCATCCTGTGATGCCGACTCATGGCGACCCTGCAGGGCAGGGCAGAACTGCCCCTGTGGGGTTTCGAGGACTGTAACTCTTTGCAGGAGTAGAAAGCCTCACCTTTCCCCCGCGGTGCAGCTGGCAGTTTCGAACTGCCATTGCAGCCCAACAGGTAACCACGACGCCACCAGGGAAGGACCCTTGACTAAGCTTAGTTGGAGCTCATTTTACTGTGGACAAACGGAGAGCACAGAGAGTTTCTTACCCGCCCAACACAGACTGTGGAAACAGGAGCCAGCTTTGGCTGTCTCTACAAAACTTTCTTCTTTGGATAAAAGCTCTTAGCAAATGCTGGTGGGGTCGCCTTTGGAATTATCCTCTGTCTTTGGAACATGTATGGAAATGGATTGGTTCAGCCTGACTTTATAACAGTATAAAATGCCCTTCTGCCCTTGCAGTTGCTAGCAGGTTGCCACCATCTGGTTTCATGTTTGACTCATTAATTCAGTGCAGGACTGCCCCTGTGGGTTTCTGAGACTAAATCTTCATGGGAGCAGAAAGCCTCAGATTTCCTCAGTATTTTCCCAATGAGAGGCTAGTTGGTGGTTTTGAACTGCGGACCTTAGGGTTAACAGCCCAACGTGTAACTTGCTAAGCCACCTGGGCTCCCTAGTTTAATGCTCAGTCAGTAATAAAATTGAGTCACCTGGCATGCGCGCATTCCCAGTTGGGGTTAAACGGGTGCTGACGCTCTGCCTTCTTGCTTGAGGTTTTGTGCTATAAACGTGCCCATTCCACAGTCTATGCAGTACCACTTTTTTGCATTTTTGCCCTTTTAGTTGTTTATTTTATTGCTCAAAACGGTCCCCCGTGCATCATGCTCTGAAGCGCTTTATGGGGGCAAGTAGCATAGACGGCCAGAGGAACAAGCAAGTCCAGCTTGGAAGAAATACATCAGCAATGACCCCTAGGAGGAGGTTGGCGAGACTTCCCCTCGTGTACTTAGAACATGTTAGCAGGAGAGACGAGTCCCTGGGAAAGGATCAAGTGGAGGGGCAGCAAAAAAGAGGAAGACCCACGAGATGGATTGACTACAACACCTTGACTACAGCAATGGGCTCCAACCTAACAAGTGTGAGGATAGCACGCACAGCACTGGGCAATGTTTAATTTTGTTGTGCATAAGGTCTCGAAGAGTCAGCATGCTTTCAAGGCACCAAACAACAATCACAAAAGTGCTCAAAGATTGTGCTGTGCTATAGTCACTAACTGTGTTAAATAAGCTTTGTTCACGCATAAGTATCATGCTGTTGGCTGTGAGTTTAAAGAAATCGGCAGCGTATATTAAATAAGATGGATGTGAAAAGCAGCACACATCCATCCACAGACTAATGGACAAGTAAATTATGACACATACATACAATGGAATACTACCCAGCCACTGGGGAAAATGATGCCGTGATATGTGCCACCTAATGGCTGGAGCTGGGAGACATTATGCTGAGTGAAAGAAGTCAGTCACAAAGGGACAGATAGGGTATGAGCTCACTTAAATAAAAAGAGGAAAAAGCAAATGTATAGAGAACAAAGTGTATTTGTGGAAGGGAGGTTGAAGCTAACGTGAAAATCCCATTGATTAAGGGTAGGGTTGCACAGCTGTTGGAAACTGCTGTCAATAAGTTGTATCTGTGAAAAATTGCCTTGGTGAAAGTTGGGCGATAGGTGGATTTATAACAAGGACCAAAAGAAAAGAATGAAGAGTAACACCGAGGCTGCTTACGTGCAGCCCCAAACCTCAGGGCATTTGAGCCCCTGATGTGGAGATTTAGGGTCATAGTTTCATAGGACGTCCCAGTTAATTGGCCAAATAACATGTCTAGTGCTTCTGTTCTCCTTAGTGCCTGGGGTCTTAAGAGTTTTCGAGTGGTCATCCAAGGCACAGCAGTTGGTTCATAGTTACTTGGGGCACTAGTAAAGAGAGTCAGGAATAGAAGCAGAATATGGAAAAAGTGGGCAGTTGCCTTCTTAAACAACTGCCCCCTGTCCCATGGCCCTGCGGGGGTCAACACTGGAGGCTCAGTGTCAGGATTGGCCCAGTCTGACCCCGCAACACCGAGGTAAAACACAAAAGATGCTCAGCAGAGCAACGGGGCGGTGGGCAGAGCAGGGAGCTCCCGAGGGACTGCAAAGGATAGACTTTGGGGCCAGAGCATAGCACCCCATTGGACTTGACTGGAGGACATGCCTAGAGGTCAAAAATCAGACCTTGATCTATTTACAGGATTTTCTTTTAAAACTTAAAAAAAATGTTTTCTTTTAATTAATTTATTCTTCTCTGGGTCATTGGTTTTCTTTTTTGTTGTCATCGTTGTGTTCTCTTTTGTCAATTTGTCTTTCTGTGCCTTTTGCTTTTTGGTGCATATTATTATCTCTGCAGATCTATCTAGATAAGATAGCCTGGATGAACAGTCTGGAGGAGAAAACAAGGGGACCCATGGTTCTGTGGGGACATGGGAAAGGGGGAGGCAGGGGAAAGGAGGTGGTGTTGACCAACCCAGGGACAAGGGAGCAACAAGTGATCCAAAATTAGTGGCAAGGAGGGTGTGAGAGGCCTGGTAGGGATTCAGCAAGGGCAATATAACTGATAGAAATTACTGAAACACAAATGAAGGCTGAGAATGATAGTGGGACAAGAGGAAAGTAAAAGGAAATAAAGGAAAGACCTAGGAGGCAAAGGGTATTTATCGAGTTCTAAATACAGGGATGTACATATGTAAATATATTTAGGATGGTGGAGAAATAGAGCTATGTGCATATATTTATAGGTTAGTATTAAGGCAGCAGATGGACATTGGACCTCCACTCAAGTACTCATTCAATGCAAGAACACTTTGTTCTATTAAATTGGCATTCCATGAAGCACACCTTCCCGACACAATCGCTGAAGACAAATGGGTGCATAAGTAAATGTGGCGAAGAAAGCTGATGGTGCCCAGCTATCAAAAGATA